AGCTTTCTGTCCTGAAAGGGTTTGCATCCACATGTTGGTAAGCAACAAGTTTTGTGCCCTCCCTGCCCGCAACTTTCCACTGTGGTGAAAACACTATGTCGATCAGCCAAAACGAAAGCCAGATGAGGACTGGCCTTCAGCTCTCTGCAAAGAAACCACACAGAAAACCAAAGCTGTTCAACAGCTTTTCTAATTTCTCTTCTAATGTGATGATAGTTTTGTTGTTATATGTAGATATGCAGTTAGTTAGTTAGAATCCCATCAGCAGTATCCATCTCTTCTCAAACTGGCACCTTGTTTACAGATCACACTGATTTCACTCTGTCAGTGTTATACATCAGCACCCTGCTTGCAGAAAAAATGCTTTGTGCAGCCTCATACTTGCAGAGCCAGACAACAGTGTCTTCCTCTGTAAAGTGAGATACCTACAATGTGCAGTACAGCTCAACAGATAAAAATCTGCTTTGTAGATTCTAATAACTAGGCTAATAACTACTTGTGATCAAATTATTAAAAAAAAATTAAAATACTGTGCACTGCACTCCCTTTGGTCAGGTGCGAGCTCTTGAGATCAATGGGACATATTGTTAGTAACATTTATAATTACACACTGTGTAATAGTGTAACAACACCTGTGTTACCACTTGCAACTGACTTTACTATCATTCCTGCCTACCAATAATATTGGTATGTAAATACAGGCAAACAAATTAAGTGTGAACTTCGTAATTCACTAATGTGATAATATAACAGGATCTGAGCTTACCCAGGTAACTTCGGGGTTAACCCTGCATTTTCAGTACCATAACGGCAGTTCCCTTTTTACCAGGGTAGATAGATTGCCATGGTAACTTATGCTGAACAGCTAACCTGTGGCCTGTACTATGAAGGGAGTTCAACCTACTCAGAGTTAACTCGGGGTTATCAGGCAAACTCAGGGTTGACAAACTCTGACCGCCTACACTGGAGTTAAACGGCACTACGATGGTGCATAAGATGTTGGTTAGTTGAGTCCGTGTTAACTTGATTGCTGTTGGTGCACGTTCACATAAAAGGGGTGTGTTCGGCCATGAAGGCAGAGTTTTTTCGCAACGCCGCGTGTTCCGTATTTCTCCAGAGGAATGCATGTTGGTAGTGTCAGGAAATTATGAATGTAAAGACTAACGGCTGAATCTAATATCGTGGCAGACGACAAAGCCAGGGATGCTTGTTGGACTAAATTTGTAGCCTAATTATCTTCCCAGTGTTCTTATTATAGTTCAAAACTCTATTATGTATTTTATGGGCTCTTCTTTTATGTGTAATATGATGTAAAGGTACAACTGCACATGAGGTCCATTGTAGGCCAAATAGAAAAAAAGGAGCCAACGGAGGGGTAGTCCTAATAATCCGAGAGAAAATTTACTTTAATCTAGCCTACAACTAAAAAACTTGAATATTCACTGACATTATAGTCACACATTTGAGAGAAACTTCGCTTTTCAAGGCTGCAACATCACACACACGTCTGCCGTGTAGTATGCAGGCACTGGAAAATTATATTAAACTTTGCAATCGGATTTAGCGGTGGAGCAAATCAGGATGAAATCTAAACATATTTTATGTGTGGTATTTTAGGTGTGTATTAATATCCTACTTCTCATCATTAACAGATGTGGTGTGTAGTCCGCTTGCAGGGTATCCTCGAGTTAACCACGAACAAAACCTGCTCGGAGCAATTTAGAAATGCAGCGTAAATTGCCATGGCAACAGAGCCCGGGTAACATACTCTCCACCTTTCGTAGTACAGGTTAACCGGGAAGTTACACCCGACGTCACGAAGTTACTCCTGAGGTTACCTGGATAAGCCAGTTACCCTGCTTCGTAGTACAGGCCACTGCTCTGGAGCAGGTTGTGTTCCAGATAAGAGATCTACACTATAAAAACACTGCCTACCGACCAATCAGCTCTCTTGGCATCAATCAGCTCAAATGACATCACCATCTTTTGGAGATCCCACAGACTGTTTTATAGGCTGCTTTTATGTTTCCTGTGGTGATGTGGAGGAACGTTTGTATAGCAATAAAATCTAACTGATTGAAGTAGGCTACTACTGTACTTGTTTTTTGTGACAGTGAGCCTGCTTACCACTTTGAAATGTGTTTTATATTTTTATGTATTATTTGGCAGGCATTTTGAAATTAAGTTTAGTGTAAAGGTTTCATTTTGGTTAGTAGCAACCTTGTAATACAGAGTCTAAATGTTGAGATTCAGTCTTTCGACCACTATTTGAGCATTGTTTCTGGCATGAGTCGATTTTTGATTTTGTTGCTTTATATAGTTAATTAACAATATTTGGAGCACTTTTGAGTGTGTTAAATACTTTAATCAGATTTTTGAAGGGGTGAGAACTTCTTAAAAGTGAGTTGGAAGAACCTCTGAGGCTTTTAATGTGGAAATGTTGACACACAGCTGAGCTAAAACAATAAGGCTAAAGCTGTCATACAAGCCATGAACATGTTAAATCAATACATTCATATTATAGGCTCCGCCTCCTCTTCCCGCATGAGTAAGCTGCAGCTATGTTACTTAGACTGTTTCTCTATATTGCTCTTGGTTGGTAAAATATAACACTCTGCTGCCAACACCGCCTTTTTTATGTCAACACGCTCATGGCTAGATTGGGAAACGCAGGGTTGACTTACCAAGATGATAACCAGCTAAATGTGACCGCTTATCCTGAATGCGATTGTTAGGGTTATTGAAGCCAGATAACGAAAAGATACCCTGGGTATGTTGAACTTGCTATGTGGTACAGGCCCCAGGTGTGGTGATGAAATCAGAGCCAGATGTGTGGGGGGGAAGATAGGCACTCGCCCCAACCAACTGCCAGAGGATTAACCGGGAGAAAACAGAAAACAGACAAAAACACCCTAACCCAGCATGTAACCCACAGACAATGACAAACAAAACAAACATAATCACACACATACAAACGTCATAGCCCAAACCGGCACGCATTCTGAACGTTAACACCCTGAAACGGCACTGCACTAGTAGAGGAAATTTTGAACATGCATTGCAACAAACTATGAGGGACCAACAAACAACATGAACAGCAAATTAAAATAATAGTACATCAGTCTTATTAGAATGTGATCAAATTAATAAGGAATAAAGGCATGTCTCTAAATGACTGTTTCGGATAAAGGCCTGGGCCTCAGTTTATAGAACTGTTCTCAGATTTAAATTTACTTCTTCAGATCATTTCAGACGGTGTGCTTACGTTTGATTCATAAAAGATACTGAGCATGAAAGACCTTATTTATGCAGGTTCTAAGAAGCCCATTTGTAACTTCTATAAATCTATAAATCTCAAATTAACTTAAAATTGACCTCACCTCTCTTACAATCAGCATATTTCCCTTATACAAAGTTAGCATGAATGAGGGTTTAGTAATGAACAGCAATGGACCATGTGATAAATGCAAACTTTTAGAATTATGGCAATGGCAGGTGATTGAAGCCAGGCAACGTATTATTTGTTGGACTAAAACGTGGATTGACAAACAAAGCAAATACAAAGCATATGAGTATGTTGCAATTAATTCCTCACACCTTTAATTGATTCTATTCTCATTAACAACAACAATGACTACAGTACTACTACAGTAACTCTGTGACAGGCTTATGCACACACACACACACATGCTTCCCCGATGATACCAGGATCCGTAGTGCTAGTGTGTTTCCGACCATGAACCACGCAGGGAAACGAAGTTGAGCACACCCAGCCAAAGAGCCTGATTCCCTTTTCCCCCCATTGAACTGACTTTAGCTTTCTTTGCTTTGACCTTGTTTTAACCCTTTATGTCTATTTCCTTAAATGCATGCAATAAACTTGGAGGCTATATTTTGCACAGCTTGTTGGTGTTGTTGCCCACTTATATTTAACCACTGGTTGGTCAGTTTCCAAACCATAGAGGGGTGTTACACAACTCTTATCTGTCCTTGTCTACACGCAGGCAGTTCAGGCAGTTCAGTTGAGGTTCAGCCAAAAGCTCATATTGCTGCTTATACTTATCTTTGTGTTGCCACTAAAGTGGTATGGTACGGCCTCAGAACATCTGTTACAGATAGAATGTAACAAATATAAACTCGCTGGGTGGTAGAGTTTTTTGGTGATGGTGCAATGGATAAGATGCATGCCTTTGGTGTGAGAGACTGGGGTTCAATTCCCCACTGTGACCCATCTACCTTTGTGTCCCTGAGCAAGACACTTAACCCCTCGTTGCTCCAGAGGCGTGCGACCTCTGACATGTGTAGCAATTGTAAGTCGCTTTGGGTAAAAGCGTCAGCTAAATGAATAAATGTAAAATCTAAATCACAGCACAATGTGTGGCAGTTTCAGGACCACAGGTGGACTATGCTTCCAATGGTTTTTCCAATGGTCTCGTCCTGGCTTGCCTACATCAGACATTCCCATCTGTTTACTGTCAGGCATTAATATGTTAACTTTTATCTCAAATTGAGCATCTTGTTGTGTCTTGTTGTGACTCTACACCAGCTACCTGATCAAGTTATGTGAATCCTTTTCATCTTCCCTATATTTTTGTTCATTGTATTGTATGTATTTTGGTGTGAAGATTATTATGAACGAACATCTTCTGAAATATAACCTAGACTTGTATTCTATGAGGTTTAACGTTTGCTTCAACACTCCTGAAAGCATTTATGTAGTCAGTTTGAGCAACATGATAAGCAACAAAAAACAGCCCGCCTCTTTGCATTGAGAACGCCCTTCATGGGGAACACTTCATTTACGGACATTACAGAGCTTCAGTCATACGCGCAATGATGAACTTTACCTTGATGACAGCTTTCAACCTCTGCAGCCTCAGTAAGTACTGCCACTGAATTACTCCCAGCTTCAAATTACTAACTTGCTGACATTTAGTAAGATATATTTTTTTACTGTTAGGTTACAACAAGAAAGTCTTGTCGTCTGTTGTATGTTTCAGGCTGGATCTCTGTCTCAGTTTCTGAGTCTCAGACTGTGGAGGTCCAGCCTGGTGAGGAAGTCACTCTGCTGTGCTCCAACATTTCCAGAGACCCAACTCAGACAGACTGGTTCAAACTGATCAACAGAACCAAGCCCAGCTGTATCTCCTCCATGTACCAGTCTTATGACAATGCTTCATTCTGTCATGGATTTAAAAATGGAAAATTTGAAATGAGCTCCAATGTCTCCACTGTCTTTCTTAAAATCAAAAAAGTGGATTTATCTGACTCTGGACTGTATTTCTGTGGAATTTACGTGGAGAAACATACAGTCATTGCCAGTGCAACACATTTAAGTGTTAATGGTAAGATTGTTTTCAAGTCTTATCTCTTTCAGAGATCTCATTTTCTCATCATATTTATAGTTTATCTCACATGTAATGCTGCAGTAGTTGACAGCATAAAGACAAACAAAAAAACCCAATACATGTCACATGATTTAACCTTTTTTTAAAGGTAGTGGTGAATCTGATGATGAAGTGGCTTTTAAGACTGAAAGTAAGGTTTTCCTCTCTCAAGATTTGTTTCATTGTGCAAATATTTTAGAGTCAATAATTTCAATCTCAACCATGTCTAAAACTACCAGATTAGAAAAGAGAATCTAATTCTGTAATTGTTCTTGTAGAGGAGCCTGATGGTCTGGCTGTTTTCCTCACTATGGTCGTCATTGTTCTGGCTGTTAAAATCAGGAAACTTACAGGTACAGTAGATTATACAGAGATAATTTGTTGCACATCTTCTTGTAAATGGTGTTAACATGATGCACAAGTCCAAAGTAAAGTATATGTTCAATAATAATTAATGTTTGTTATCTACCATTTAGCTGTGAATGAAGAACCGCAGACAGAAGGAAACAATGTGAACACTTATAAGGTTATAAAGTTGCATGTAGTTGTTTGTAGTACAGTGAGGAACAAAAAACAGTTGCAAAATTGTTATTTTAAAATTCAAATGTAACTACTGCAAGGTGGAGCACTTCATTCTATTGTTTGAACGATCAGTTTAAAACAGTTTTTGTTTAGCTTAAATTGAGAAAAACAGCAGGGGTTCTATTAAAAATCACGTTTTACCACTTAAATTACACAATAATATAAGATATGCTATGTTTGACACTAATCTTAGTTTAAATGATCCCACAAATCCACCAATTATATGGATTTTTGGCAACTCAGCAGAGTGTGTGATACAGTATGTGACTCTAAATGTTCTGATTTACAGAATCTGGACTCAGATGACCTGAACTACGCAGCTCTAAGCTTCCAGCCAAAAGCAAAAAGAAACCGCAGGCCTGCATCTGAGAGAGAACTGGAGACAAATGTTGTGTATGCTGCCACCAGATAGACTCAGAAAGCAACTGGAACTGCAGCTCAGAGTGGAACTGATGCTTTTTCAAAATAAACTGCTGTTGTGTTTTGAGGGAACCAAGCATGCTTAATGTGTGACGGACGAGGAGTCAGAAAGGACACTGATGGCTGTCACTTGCTGAAAGACTGAGATGGTCTGAGGAGGAAGGAGTGAGGGAAGTACACGTCACTTGTTTGGAAGGAAGAGAATTGCTTATGACACAATTAACGTAGCTGCTTTTTTGAAAAATAAGTAGGGAGGGAAAAAAAACAGTCCCAATGAGTAAAGAAAAAAGCCTCAACACAAATATTAAAAGCCTGTTAAATCACTACTTATCACTTTACACAAACTGTTTGTCTCGACTGCTAAAGAGAATCAGTGCAGCATCGCAGCTATCATCAGAATCCAAGCAGAAAATGAGAGATAGGCAGAGATAGGTTTCTAACTGTGTCTTTGTAACCTGAAGCTCTATTGTGGTGATTTCTGTGTAGTAACACGACTGCCGAATTAAAGTTTGTCACCGGTTTCTGTGTGACAAAGTGGCAGTAATTGTTTTTTACCACAGTATTTAGGATTTGTGTGTTTTTAGCTGTGTTACTTCCTGGAACTGTGTGCAGAGTGAGTAACTATACATCAGCAGGACCAGGACCAGGCTGCTGAAAGTTTGCTGCTGGGTACTGTGTGAAAAAGTGGTAGTTACGATGTATCTTGCTGCGGCAACCAGGATCTAAAATACTCTGCTTTGTGCACTTTTTTCTCTTTTTCTCTTTCTGTACTGGCCTACACACACATTCATTTACATGCTTTATTCACATCCTCACTCAACATCTGGAAAACACAGCATGTAGCCGTAACTCCACCTGTGCCCGCCATTTTACGCCACATGTGCAACCCCCCCCCCCCCCCCCCCCCACACACACACACACCTACATTCACATACTTGCTGATTGTTGTAAATATTGGCATTCAAAGGTGGGAAAAAACACTCTCTGAGACTCTTTTCAAGTTTGGTTATTGATCCTTGATTTCAGGGTGGTGCCCCATATGTATTCATCTTTATTAATATTTGAGTAATATTAAAAACCTTATTAATATTTCTGAATATCTTTGCTATTGTTCTAATAACCAAACCGGCTCCTACCAGATCCCAACACTAGTATTCTCATAATCGAGAGCACAAACTGCAGCATAAAGGAGAATACAGATGTTAAACAAGACAAAGAGTCTACCACCCTGCTAGTGGCTCTGTGATGCTGTAGGCTACTTAAACACAGCGATGCTTTGAGCTTGGTACATCAGCATGCTAACATGGTCACAATTTCAATGTTAGGGATCATAAAGAGCAAAGTATGAAAAGTTACCTTTAAGAGGTGAATGCATAATTCGGCAGAAAAGATGATGAATGCTACCTGCCGAGATCTGCGTCCACCTCATTTCTCAGCACAAATGAGTGTTACCAGCCGCGAGGTGCATGAAATTCTCGGCAGGCATGCAGAACTCTGCACAACCGGGCAAGACGCCGACAGCAGAAACAGCTGATCAGTGGTGAGTTACAAGTTCGCTGCATCAGAACTTATTTGGAAACAAGTGTTTCTATGTCCCATTTAGCACGTTTACTCTTTTTCGACAAAGGCAAAAACCACCTCACCTTTTTGCGAAATTAACGTTTGTTTTTTGTTTTTTTTACAAATGTTGCCGTTTCCATCAACCTTTTCTAATGCAATGCTTCAGAATGCGCAATAAAAAAACATTGATGGAAACACGGCTAATGTGTCTCGATTTCTTTATTACACAACTGATCAGTGTAAATGTGGTTGCAAGAATATATCTGAGTCAGTAATAAATGTGGGCTTACTGTCTTGGAAGCACTTTGGGTCAATTATCAGATTTTATTTCTCCTCTCCAACTCAGCTGTTTAAGCTGTGTGACTGTAAACACTTTAATTTTGATCATCTGGACTCTCCTGACCTGAAGGAAGCAGCACTGACTTCATATTCAACAACAATAAGAAGCAGCAGGCCTGCATCAGAGACAGAAGTGGAAGCTCATGTTATTTATGCTGCCAGCAGGAAGAAACTGGAACTGCAGCTCTGACTGGTGATTTATCATATTAATCTGCTGCCACCTGCAGAAGGACACATATTGTACGATAAAGTTCCTATATTCATGTTCAGTTTGCATTTTCTTTCTTGTGTTTTTTCTGCCTCTCTCTCTCAGAAAAAGTCTCTGCCTTTCTTATGTTGTCTGCCTCTGATTTTTATCAAATAGGAACAAGGACATGTTTGATGTTTGGTGAGGAGGAGCCACAAAGGACAGTGATGGCAGACCATTTGACTCGTCCTGTGAGTAAGTTTGAGAGTCAGGGGGAGGGAGGAGTGAGGGAGGTACACATCTCTTCACAGGAAAAGACAGCACAGTGCGGTCTGAGCACATGAAAGGCACGAGGCTTTGTAGCAAAGTATAAAAAGAAACTGTGGGAACGAACCTACTTGCTTCTGACTAAATAATATCAGCCTCCTATGAAGTGAAGAAAATAAACATTGATGGAATAAACCAGCACCCTGTGGTGACAAACATTGTCTGTGTGAGTGAAAGATAACGCCTCCACCAGGAAGACTTCAGCCTTGACCACAAATATCAAATGACTTGCTGTTTTCAAAGACCACTAATAATGCTCCTTTTTAAAAGATGTATTTTCTTTACACAAACATATTCTCTTGTGTCCACTTGACACTAGGGCCCATTTCACCTTCTTCAAAGCCATGTTGTACACTGGTTATGTTGTGATGTTTTGTCTGGGATCTAGAAAAATTGTGGCAAAGGTTATGTAATCTGCTTTGGACTTTAAAGGATTAAAGATTTCTACAATTGATAGCATTACTTTCACTCTAAGATGAGAGAAATACAAATGTGTCTGCAGAAGAAGTGGCTCCTCCTTTCATTTGTCAACAGGTGCATGCGACGGCAGCAATCCATTCTTGCTCCAGCAAATTTCCTGTATAATAAGTGTAGGATATCAGCTGGGAAGAATGAAGATGAATTTGTTTAAAATCTGATTTTGTTGTGAATGTGGTCATATTAAGGCAAATATATTTTCTTGGAAGAGTTTAGTTTTGATTCTCACATGCTTCTTTCTCTCTTGCTCTCAGTGTCTGTCAGTATTGATATTGTTTGTCCTTGATCCTAATCTAAAGATAAAAAAACAAAAGACATCTGTGGTTTGATGGAGGAGGAGCCAGCAAAGGACACTGATGACAAATGTCCTTATACGGAGAGTCTGCAAGCAGGGAGGAGTTACACATCACTTGTTTGAAAGAGAGCTCAGTATGGTGTGAGCACAACTGAGCAGAAGATTATGAGGCATCTAAGGTCAAACCCTGGCCTGTCTGTTTTTGCATGCATAAGTTGGCCCCCCTCCTCCCTGCATCCTCCCCGTCATATTCAATGTGGTGAAAACACAGCATCAATGCAATGTGTATCAGCCAAAATGAAAACCACTAGCCTTCAGCTCTCTGCAGTGACACCACATGCAACAGAAGCTGTACTACTTTCAACAGCTCTTAAAATGTGATGATAGCTAGAATCCCATCAGCAGTAAATCCATCTATTCTCAAACCGTCACATTCAGACCGCACTAATCACACTCATTTCACTCTTTTTTACTCTTCTGCTTCCTGGTGCTGCCTCGTACTTATACAGGGAGCTGACGGGGTCTTCTTCTGTACTGTTTACTGAATTAGTTACAGCAGCAGACAGCAGTGTGTATTTGCTTTGTGGTGATGAGGTATTCAGTAGCAGTCTACTACTTTTTATACATTTTCAGAATCAGCTTTATTGCCAAGTAGGTTTACAAATACAAGGAATGCCCTTTGGTGACTTGACTTGACTTTGCCTCGTCTGTGTCTGCATTTTGGGTGCACACCTCAGTTCAGACTTGTGCAGAGAACCAACATAAGGGGTGAGTTCAATCCCAAAACGTTTTGCAACATTTTGGGATTGAACGACAAGTTTCCTTGAAACGTTGTGCAACGTTCCGCCATGGGCTTGAAGGTATGCGTACACAACAGGATGTTCAACACACTGGTGATTCAAAACAATAGTACCAAAACATTTGTAATGTTACTTGTGGTTCTCCCCCTTAAACCTTTTCACACAATAAAGGAAACAACACATGTACACATTTGCACAGTTTTTATTCCTTAGTGTGCTGTAAAGTACAACACACCAAACAACTAATTATTATTCTCCAACTTCCTGTGTTTGGTTTGGGACAGGCCCAGAGATTCTTGTCCTCCTACTCCACCTTCTCTCCCTACTCCTCCTCCAATTCCTAGGGCCTTTCCGAAACTAGACCATCGCCACTTCCACTCTGATATGGAGTGAACTCGGAGTCACCCTCACAGCCAAGTTGCAAAACTCGGTGAATGGCAGGTGAGAGAGAGAGAAAGGGGTCAACAATAAAGCCTCAGTTTAGCTGGAAATTTACAGTGTAAGTTGAATGAACAGAGACTGCAGCTCTGCAGCTTCTCGAGATTAAAGCAGAGCTACCGTGTGTAACCCCCCCCCCCATACACACACACAAAAACACACATGATTCGACAATCAGTCAACTATAGGCAGGACTTGACAGTTCTGATTCGACTATGTAAATCCTTAGTCGGGGACAGCCCTATTGATCACACAGCAGTTACATGTTGCTGGGACCATCAGAGATCTAAGATTGGACAGATACGTTATTTAAAGGCAACAAACCACAGAGAAAGGCTCAATAGGTGCATTTGAACACTTCAGAGGAACTTGTGAGGTGTGTCCTTTTTGTTCCAGCCACAGAGTCATGTGCTTGGAGGTATTGTTGTGGTCGACTGACATAGAAGTCATCCCTCATCCCTTTTTTTCAGAGCCCCAGAGCACTGTGACAGCAACATGTCATGTCACTATGCAATAAGCAATACTCAGTTTTTTAGTTTTCACCAGATGTTTTGATTGTTTAAGCAGCCAAATTTCTTCAGTGAGTTGGTCAGCTTTTAATCATC